TGTTGCATATTTTTGTGAAAAGCTATGGCCTTTACTTCAAAATCTTGGTGATTTATTGGCTTTCTCTTCTGGGTTTCCTTATTTATTTGGTTCTGCGAATGGGTTCTATCTGGTTGTGCACAAGCTGTGGAGAGAGAGGAAAAAGATTGAATCTTTCCTTCAAAATTTGCCTTTTAGGTTAAAGAGATTTGGAGCTTTCCCGCTAGTTTTCTCAGTGACCAAACAAAGGAAATCCCTTTTCTCCTCTCCCCCAAGTTTTCTCAGTGACCAAACAACGGAAACTCTTTTGTTTCAGCTGGAAAATAACTCAGATCTACTTTTACTGGTTTTCTTAAGCTTTCTTTCTTCTGTAACAGTTCAGAATTCTAATCAAGCTCCGAATTTATGTTGTTCGTATAGAAATTTCTTAGGAATGATAAAGCAAGATCCATTTTGTATCATATCCTAGGATTCTTTGGTTTAAGCTTCCTCAATGAGCAAAGAAACTTTCCCAATGTCGGGATTGAATGTGTAGGATTGGTTGGAGATGGTGACACGATAACGAATCTCGAAAGACCACTCTTTCGGTTAAGGATGCCTAATCGCCAAACCGATCATATTTGGAGCAGAAAAAGTCATTCCTCAAACCTTCTCCAAAGAGAACTCTACGAATCTCAAAAAGACCACTCTTTCGTCTAAAGATGCCTAATCGCCACGCCAATAATTATTGGGAGGAGAAATTCATTCCTCAAACCTTCTTAAAAGAGAGATCTGATACTCTTAGACCCCACATTGTTTGTTTTTAACTCACAAGTCATTATTTTCCTCTTACTTTCTTTACCTGCTCCCAACAAGAGCAACAAAGTTCATTATTCAGTGGGGGATTGTTTGAAATGTCAATAATTGTATACTTTTTTGAAAGAATTGGTTGAACTATTTATGAAATCCTTATCTGTAATTCAATAGGGGAAGATATTTATCTCTGGAAGCTTTGAAACATTCCAAAAGATTCATAACCATTCTTTCATGATATGTTGCCCAAAAGTATCATTGAGTTGAGAGATGAATATTTTTCAGCTTTGTATCAACATCAACATTTCATTGTTGTTTTCCTTGACGTCTTTTTGAATCTTACCTGCAACATATCTGCAGATTTCTGCGTTTTCTCATTGTCGGTTAATGAGCATTCGATAACTCGAAACCGTTTTGCAGGCAAAGATAGTTCAAGACACAGATGCCAAGAGAAACTATTGTGTATATGACTCTGACATTTCAACTGGATTGGGAGTTGGAGGATTTCTCTTCCTGATGGCCAGCCAGATCCTCATAATGGTCGCTAGCCGCTGCTTCTGCTGCGGAAGGCCTCTGAGCCCCGGTGGTTCTAGGGCTTTGGCCGTCATTCTTTTCATAACCTGCTGGTAAGAAAAACATTGAATTCTCCCTTTTGACAGTTATTTTGATGCTATAGTCTATAGTGTCATTACTTGGTGTAAATCTTCCCCTATATTCCACCACTATAGTTACACTTCCCTCCTAGCAAACTGGAAGTGCTTCATGTAATCCTCTTTTGAGGTTTTTGTATCCCTCTTTTGAGGTCTCTTGTAATTTCACTCATCAATGAAATTGTTTCTTTCAAAAAAAAAAAAGAAAAACATTGAATTCTCCTTGTACCAAAAAAGGGGCAGTTTCTCGTACTGATATGCTATTGTCTACTTCTACGAAACAATTCATTTCAGGGTGTTCTTCTTCATCGCCGAGATATGTCTGCTGGCGGGATCAGTGAGAAATGCATACCACACCAAGTACAGAACAATGTTTACTGAAACTCCTCCCTCTTGTCAAATGTTGAGAAGGGGAGTGTTTGCTGCAGGGGCAGCTTTCATTTTCTTCACTTCCATTGTCTCTCAGTTTTACTATGTATGCTACTCGAGGGCCCGGGAGAGCTTTCAATCGTATAACAAAGATGCTGGTATTGGCATGAGTACCTACAAATGAGATTAGTTAATATTGTCATCGTCTCGTCATCGTCGACCACATTCCGCTTCAAGGTAGTTTTTGCCTTTCACCTTTTGTAGTTTCCAATCCAGTTTATAGAAGCCTATAGGATGTCTTCTCTACTGATCTATGCCTCGATCAAATTCTGTAGTCGATAGTTTTGTGTCAGTATTGGAAAACCATTGCTTGTTAGTTTGTATTAGGATATTCTGCTGATGATTATTGTATGAACATGTGTTGCAGGACGTTGTTTTTGACCCTTATTCTTTCATCGTTTTTGTATAACCAAGTAATCCTTCTCTTCCTCTTGTGGCTTCATTATATGATGTACACAAAGTTTGTAATGGAAAAACATACTTCTCTTTGTTAATTTGGGCTTTAACTTTTAGTAGCATTGATTTGGCTTGTGGAGAATGCTTTTAATCTCCTTTCAAAATTGCATATTTTCATGTCAAAGTCAGAAATTTGGAAGCGTTCTTATTTCTTGTTTTTTGTTTCATCTATGTTCTTGTTTCTCACTTCTTAAAAATATTCTCAAAATTGTATATAAATTTTGGAAACAGAAACAAACAATGCTTCTTGTTCATGTTCCCGTTTGCTCCAAAACATAAAGGGTGTATTTAACAAATTTTAATTTATGATAATTTATGAAGTTTGAGTTGGGTTATAAAGGGTGTATTTAACAAATTTTAATTTATGATAATTTATGAAGTTTGAGTTGGTGTAACCCGTACTTAAATTATGCAAAGCAATATAAACATAGTTCATTGGTTAAGGTATTTACTCATTATTTTTAGGTTCGAGGTTCAAATTTCTTCACCTATATTTGTTGCACTTAAAAATTAGGCAAATAAAAAGGATAGAATTTGAATTTGTAGTCGGATGTATAAGAAGAAGTTATCTAGTTTGAGAGATAAATAAACTTGCATACCATAAGATGTTGGGTTTTTGTGGAGTCCAAATCATTAAGAAGACTCATTTGAAAGTCGTTTTTGAAGAGAACAAAGGAGCGTTGCAGTACATGACCAAGTCAAGAAGCCACGAAGATAGCAGTTAGGTGCTATACTTGGGTGTCTAGGTGTTGCCCACAGCCAGCAATGCTATCCTAGAGTGTTGTGGTACTGACTTGAAGCGTCTATTGATCTTAGAGCATCATGGTGCTAGTTCAAACAACTAGCAAAGTCTTTAAGTGTTTTCTATTTAAATTAGGCTTTTCATTTTCTATAGATGTGGGCTGCCAGCAATTGCTAAAGAAAAATAGGAGAGAAGAGCGCGATAACAAGTCTTAGGTGGGACGTGAGATAAACGGCAGAGAGTTTAAAAAAAAAACACATTGTTGTGATTTCCTAGAAAGTCACGTAGCCGTTATTATTGTACGTTGAGATAGTCTTTTAGAGAGTTGAGAGATCTCATTACGGTAGTCATATTATAGTAGAACATGCAATTGGAGTTGGATGTAGTTTCAAACTTAGTACAAATCTGTATAAACTATCATATTAATTTTTCTATCATATTTTTTCTTTTATTATTGTTTAACTATAAACTACTTTTATCTTATGGGAGAAGAATTGATTAGGTAGAATAGCTCTAATTTAGAGAGAATTTAATTCCTAGCAAATTAGAGTTAAAGATTTGGGACTAACATGTTGATTTTTGAAACAATAAAAGAGCTTCATAACAATCTTTGTTGACTAAACCAATCAAATTTGATGGCCATGAAAAAACAAAATTGAATTGGAATTGACTACATCAATCAAAATGGTCTTAATCAACCAAAACTGGCCAACTTTTAATTGATTGATTTTTTATTTAAAAATCTATGATTGAATAATATATGTCTTAACGATTTTATGAGAATAATATATGTCTTAACGATTTTTCAATTTAATTAACTCATCCAAAATAGAGATCTTATTCGAATCCTTCTGTTATTTTATGAACCTTAAATCTTGTAAAACATTATTTTAACATAAAATATAGGAAAAGTAGAGATCACGTGATAAGGTCTCAAAACAAGTTAGGAAAAATATATATGATATCATCCTCTTTTGGTTAAGCTTGATCATAGGTTTCACATGTAAATTAATCCTTTTTTTTTATTTTAGATCATAGGTTTCACATGTAAATTAATCTTTTTTTTTCTTTAGTTCATTAAGATGTAAGGATTGGAAATTCAAACTTTCCATCCCAAATATATTCTTTAACTAGTTAAGCAAATGGATCAAATTCAAATCAACTTTAAGTTCCTACGTGGCATAAGGTGGTCAAGTACAAGAGCGGATCCACCTAAAGAAAACTAGGACATGCCCCCGAACTTAGATTAAATAATATATGTTTTGCTTATTATTTTAATAATCAGTCTTTGGTCTCTTGGCTTATGAACCTCCTTTTACATTTGTTTATTTTTTTAAAGTTGTATTACCTTTGCAGTTTGCATAGGCTCATCTCATTAAAACCTAAAGATTTTAGGTATAGTGTTTATAAATTGGCTTTGTGAGGAAAAGTTACCATTTATCTCTCACTTTTTTTCTCTTTTAAAGAATTCATAAATTTTTTTTATTCTCAAAAAAAAAAAATGAATTGAAAAATGAATCACTCACAACTCACATCTCAATAAGGTATCGTTTATTTTTTATTTGCATAAAAAATTTTAGATAAATAAAACTTTGTTTTTTATTCACATTGTTTTTTTTTTCATTATTATCAATTTTAGAGTTAAATTCAAATGACAAGTTTTATAACATACAATTGGTGAGTAAGATTCCAATTCTTTTTAGACTTTTAGTTTTTAGTTAGGATGATTGTCTAATTTATATTTTAGGTTTCGAATATTATTATATTTAATATTTTTGTACATTTAAATTGAAATCAATATAGAGAAATATTATGAGAAAAACCAACAAATGAGTCATTATGTCCAGTAATACTAATTTTGATAGGTCTCATATAAAAGTTTTTGTAAAAATCATGGTCTAAGAACTAAAATTTATTATTACAATTATAATTTATGAACATAATGAATATTTTTTTAAATTATTTTATATTACTTTACCTTATTTTTATACATTGTGCTCTTGAATCAAATGTCTGAATCAACCACAGGTCAAATATATATAATTATTTTTTCACTAACGTGACAAAATTAATTTTGGGATTTACTAAGATTGAGATTGAAACTGATTAATCATATTTTGTTTTGTGTCAAAACTCAAAAGGAAGAAGAAGCAGAAACGGCTTAATTTAATCAAATTTCAAATGCATTGTGCAATTGGTTGTCCCACATCGGTTGGAACCAGAAGCAGCAGTCCAAAAGAAAGCTATAAAAGGAGCCAAGGAAGACCATATTAAGCATACCTTTCTCGGCCTTTTGGCTAAGATCAAGTGTAGTATCTGTTCTTATCAGTTTAATATCTGATACGTGGGCCATCGGCCCACATGATATTAAATTTATTTTTCTAGGGGGATGGCCCACCACAGCAGCTTGCTGCTGGGGCCTTCGAGCGTCGCCTGGGCCTTACACTACAGCCCAGGCCTGGCGCACCCCTCCAATTTTAAGTCCAAACCTTTTGGCCCATTGATGTCCACATTTGGGCCCGTTAGTCTGGTAGCAATTTAGAAAATAAAGTTGATTAACGAGTGTTGCATTTTGCTATTTCTTTATTTCATATTTTGAGTTGGACATTCCAGCCCAGCATATGCATTCATTATCAAAAATAAATTTATTAATATTAATATAATTAAGTTAAATTTTGTTTCAAAAAATAAATAATAATAAAATAAGTTAAAATTTATTTGTATTAATGTGTGATATTTTGTTAATATTATTTTCATTTTGCATACTAGATTCACTTCGAAATTTAATATAGAAGTTCCATAATTTTATTTAAGAAAATAAAACTACTTAAAATCCTTTTGCTTGTTTTGTTCGTTCATAGCAATTCTCAATCCTCAATTTTGTCCCATTCTTTCGATTTTATTCTTAATTTGTATATACTTTTGTAAAAATAATCTATTTAAAATTTGTTAACATAATACTGATGTCACTAGATTATTATTTTATTGAAATATTCACACACAAGAAACATTCTACGAGTGAATTATGCTAAGATTGACAAGCAAAGACATCTAAATGACATATCCATCATCCAAATATACTAACCATTTAAAATAATAATTTAAACATACATTGTTAATAAATTTAATCTTGGATCTCAAATGAATTGCCCCCATCCTTTTCAAGAAGACACCTCATTGAAATGTTTTAAATTTTTAAAAATTAAGGAAGAAATTGAAAATTACCAAAAATAAAAACGAGAGATTATTTTTTATATTTAGTCTCTTCTTGAAAGAACATTTTTTCTTTCAAATTTTTAGTTATGTTTTAAATCAGACCTCATTTCTAAAATTAATTTTTTATAGCTGTAACATATTGGCCACAATTTAAAAAGTGAGGTTACGAAAATATATTTTAACAAAGACAGAAAAACAAAATTACTATCACAACACACTCTGAATGTAAAGCTCAAGTTATATTTACATCTCGTCCTCCAAATACAAATATTTTAAACCACAGGAAAGAAATTCTCATCACGTCAATTTAAGCACAGCTTGACAGTTAAAACATCAATCATATTCTTTATAAGTTAAAATTTTGAATCCCCACCCCCATAACTGTAGTGTTATTTTCTTGTAGGAAAAAGAAAATCAGATTCCAAATAGAGAGAAGCATGAAAGAGCTAATATTACTCTGTCATTTTATCCTTCAAATATTTTAGAACAGCTTTGGTTCCTTTGTCCAAAATTGCCCTCCGAATGCTGTATAAACAAATATGAGTTGGTTAACAAATACTCGAGATTGTGAAGCTCACCAAACAGTAAATATCAATAAAGGCGAAAAGAACAAAACGAAGCATCGTCGTACCTTCTTAGTGGATTTCCATCAAGTTTCAGAACCTGTAAGCTGGGTTCAAGCAAGCTCTGATTCAAAAAACAAACAATAAATTGTTAGTTAATCGAGAAATTTTAGAGGGAGAAAAGTTATAAAGAGAAAAAGGTAAATTGTAGAGAGACATATTAGAATATGTTAAAATAGAAAGATAAGTGAGTGAAGTACAAAACATTAGATAGATAAGGGCTACCTTGTTTTTTAACTTTTTTAACTTTTCTTTTTTAGTAAATTACCAATTTGGTTTCTACAGTGGAGCTTAGTTTCAATTCAATCTTGATGGCTTTAAAATTTTCAATTTAGTCCATATAGTTTGGGCTTAAGTTTCAATTTCATCTATAGTCTTACAAGTTCTAGTTTGGTTCTTATAGTTTGACTCTACGAAATGCTATCCAATTTTCTCACCAGCTCTGGAGGAAGCATTGAAATGTTATTGTCTGATAGGTCCAGTTCGGTAAGGGAGACAAGATTCTTTAATCCCTGCACCAAATCAAAGATGAATCACAAAACCAGAATAGAGGAGAAAACTTGGTGGAGGATAATCTCATAAACTTGAATAGAACTTGTAGCCTAACAAATTGAACACAGTCCTCTGATATTTGTTCCCAGCCAAAAGGAGTATGAAATCTTGAGATTTATCTTCCACTAGCATATGGATTCGACGCCAGTGAATTTTTCGGTTCGCACCCCAAAATGGAAACTTTAAAGGTAAAGTAAATCATCACACTTGTAGAACTCCTATACTTAAAACAGATTATATAATAATTTAACAGTATGCCAATTAGATGATTAAGAAAGAGACATCTGTGCTAATCAAACTCTTTTTGGATAAGAACGTCTGCTTATCAAACTAATGCCAATTTGATTCTGTTCCGTGAAGCCCTCTTAGAGTTACACTATTGATTAAAAATAACGAAATAAGTTACCTCTGGAACTAGTTGAATTGAATTTAGGCTCAAATCAAGTATCCGCAGGTGCTTTAGGTCCAATATAGATGATGGAACTTCAGGTAGCCGCATTCTCCTGTTAGTTAAAACTCATTACATTGAAGTACGATATTTTTCAGACGCGAGAACAAGACATGTAAAAGAACAGCGGTTGGATTAACCTTAGGTAAAGCTCTTGCAGAAGGGGTAAGCTAGAAAATGTTGGGTGCTCCGGCAAGGAACCTATATTAGCACTAAGATCTAGAACCTGTAGCATAGAGACTGCTTGAAACCCATCTGATGGAATCTACAATGCAAATAGTACCACCTGGTTAGATTTGTATGAGTGAAGAAACCAATTAGTAAACAGTCAACTGTTCAGCATTGGTCAAGGGAAAAAGGAAGGGTCAACCCAATGGCTAGACTGTAAAAAAAAAAACAGTAAATTTAAAATTAACACAAAAGTTTAAAAATATATTTTGCCATCAGTCTGTCATAGAATAACAAATGTACGACCTTAAAAAAATAAAACAATGCAGCACCTTTGAGTTGAATGATCCACTCTGTTGGTTGCTAAATCCTTTAAGAAAATAGGATATTTCAGAATTTAATTAAGAAGTCTTGATATTGAAAGAAAAAGAAAATCTCTTTCAAAATGGCACAATGCATTTCTGACTCCAGAGCATATCTAGAATTAAAAAGAACAAGAAATACCCATGAATTACTTTTTACCTGTTTAAGTGGATTATTGTCCAGCTTCAAACACACGAGATTAGGTAGCGACTTCAGGATTGCACCTGGCCAATCTTTAATCTTGTTCCTAGACAAAATCAAGGTCTGCATATTTTTTATGAATTAATGCTATCAATTACTCGAGAAAATTTTAACAAAAAACAATACAACTATGTGAGATTCAGAGCTAATCCCATATCAATCCGGATAGGAAACAATACAACATAGGTCCTACGGGCTTTAGTTATCAGCAGTTATGAAAGGAATTTGAACTCAATATTTGTCAATATAAAACTGGCTAACCCAAGTTTCTGCATACGATGTAATTAGGCTGTATCTAACTATAGCAAGAATATCTTCCTACGGTTCTAAATTTACTAAATTGAAGTTCCTAACATCCATGACTTTTAAGATCAGTTGTCACTAGGCAACAACGACAATTTCCTATTGAATTTCACTATATTTGTCACTTCGTTGATTTTGCAACGCATAACTTAAGCATATTAACCTGTAGTGAAGTACACGAAGAAAGTTCAACTGGTAGCTCCTGAATGGAATTCTTTGACAGATCAAGTTTCATTAGTTCACAGGATTCCCAAACTTCTGATGGTACAGTACTCAGCCCTTGCCCTTCTAGAGAAAGCTCCTGAAAGCAGGAAAAGTAAAATTTGAATGATAAGAAGGAAAATCACAGAACAGGTACTACATGCAGGTCATTAACTGGCATGAAATCTTTATTAGGATGGAGTAGACAAAACCAAATAAAACAAATCTTGTCAGCAATGAGACCCAGATAAAATATTTCATGACTCTCTGCAGATTATATTGCATCTGATTTAGATCCCTTTACATATGATTAATAATAAATAAACCAATCAGCTCTCAAAGGCTTTTGAGGCTTATGCCTTCAGACTTACCCCTTCTTTGGACCATAAATCTCTCATATAAGAGGCTTGCGCCTCTATGAAGACCCACTGATATTCAAGTCTTTACGCTGATTAGAAGAATATTATTAATTTTCCCAATTTTTAAAAATATAAAAGTTTCTCTATGTATGCATGCTAAAACAGGAGTGATAATGATTCAATCTATTACTGCTTTTACTATCTAGAATTTAAAAATATTGAAGCTAAAATTGATGGAATAAGTCAATGATAAATAGTAGTGATGTTAATGATGTCCATTTAGAAGTTTTATTTAATTGCCAATTGACGATGGTGGTTATCACACAAATTTAGGATTTATATAATTTTTTTAATCAAAATTGAGGCTTAAACATTGCCTCTTCCAGAGGAAAGACCTTGAGTTCGCCTTTAGCCTTAAAAGATAAAAAAAAGGCTAAAACATTGTTTTATAATTAGAAATTTCAGACTTGTGTAGGACCTTTTCATCAAATACAAAAAGCTTAATAAGAAACTACAAGTTGTAACAAATTTCTAATTCTAGAACTACCATAAAGTTGTAAGGATCCCTCCCGCTCTCTTTCAGTCAGATTCCATAATAAAATACTATCTTTATGCAACATGTTCAAATTGGGATTTTTTTATTCCTAGAAGTGAGTTTAAACCAATATCTCTGTGAAGTAACAAATGTGGTGTGGTAGGTAATCGCTCCAAAGTAAATGTTGAGCAATTACATAATAAATCACCCTTTTATGACCGAATAACTGTGTAAGCTTTTGGAACTTCTAAAAAAATTATGATAGGCAATACCTTTGAAGTGATAGACATTCTAGCTGCCATAGTAATTACATCCTCTTTCCGAGTACTACTAGCCTCAAGATCTAGAAAGAATCCAAGTTAATTATTTTATAACTAAAAAAAAGAAAAATTTTTAAGTAATGTAGACATCATAAGGAAGAGAGACTGCAGATGTGAAATAATACATGGCCTAAAATTGTAATATAAAAATAAAAATTTTAAACTCTACTGTACCTTCATTCTCAGGAAGTCTACTTCGGAGATACTTCAGTAAAGCAGGTGTTGGCCCAGAAACTAGTGAGCTAGCATTGAAAAAAGCATTATAATTTAGTCATCCGTTCTAGTGAAAGCGAAACAATGAAAAGCTATAATGAGCATTAGGTAAGAATACACTCAGACAGAATTTTCACACCTTCGAAGAGTTCGTATGGGATTGCCCGTGAGCAAGAGCTTTCGCAAAGTAGTCATCTTACCTACACAAAGGAGGATCAATAAATCAATGACTTTCGTCAAGTTTCTATCTATTCTTTAAATTTTTCCTGAAAAGTTTTAAGAAACGGATTCTCATCAAATACAGTGAAATTGTTGCTCAGTCTTCCTTTTTGTTCCTTTAAGAGGGGCACTAATACCCTGTTATATCTAACTTCTTCTGGCACTGCATTGGTTTATGCTTATGAAAGAATAGTAATTGGTACAATTAATTTTTCCTGCCTCTAAAAATATCTATCAGTGAACAGGAACAAGTGGAGTAAAACTTTGTTTGTTGACTCTGTAAACTTTATGAATAATGCAAGAGGAGAATCTATAGAAGTATGAATCTTTATATAATTGTAAAAATATTCAAACACCCTAGATTATATCTGCTAACCTTACCCATCTCTGCAGGCAGTCCAGTCAATGAGTTGTTTGAAAGATCAAGGACCAAGAGATGCAGCTTGCATGCCTCAACTGGATACTCTTTCAACTGCATATAGTAGTAAGCAGGCATGTTAATAAAAATCCCAAGAATTATCTAATGAAAGAAAGAGGATTCAATAACCTTTAAACAATATAATTCAGGTGACAATAAAAGAGATTAAATCCATATAAATAACCAAATTTCTCGAGTAAATAATTACTTCTCCATCTGTACACGAAGGGAAAATAAGTTACTTAATATCACATGTGTAATTATGTAAGAATTGAAACCTGTTTGAATGAATTTTTCTCCAACCAAGCGGCAAATATATTTTACTTCATCTCAATTTCTGGGCTGGAGGTTCATGAGAAAAATATTGATATGAACTCGATCTTGAGATTGAAAAGTAAGAAAATAGGGCTGAAATTGAATTATAAATTATAATATCAAAGAAAATTTTAGTGGGTACTAAGAATTCACAATTATGTTCTACCACCAACCAAGCTGTCAGATATTGGTCTTATCCACACTAATTTATGAGCTGCAAAATGAGTCTGTTCTCCTTTCATTTTCTCAAAAAACTTATAAAGGATTAAAAAACTCCAGTCCTACATGCAGTTTATTTCACAATACTTACGGATGTGTGATAAAAAGTATGCCCATAACCAAAAACCACAGTGCTGAATTTCTTAGCAATTTAATTTAATTAATATAGAGTTGGTTATTTGAGCTTAACAAAAAATTTACATCAGATCTTTGAAGTTAAATATTCAAAAATTAATATCATGAACATGTTTTTGGATTACAGCATTTGCAAATTTTCATGGCAATAGCCCAGAACATAAACTAAACTTGACAAATAACAAATTAAAGATAGAAAAATAGAACTCCATTCAAAATGCTACAGAGCTCAAGAAAACATTCTATACTTCAATTTATTATATTCTGAGTAATGGTCCTAATAGATAATCTTGAAGTAATCAAGGCAGAACTTATTTATGTTTGAATGTTCACATTCCGAAGTCTATCCTAACCAACGTTTCAAAGAGCTGTAAAATTTCCTCTAACAGTTTTCTTAACAGTTTCCCTATTCTCTATTGTACATTGATAGAGGTCAGGAAGAAAATGATAGGTAAGAGACGTAAGTAAGATGAACGGCCTACCTGGTTTGAGTGAAGATCTAAGGTCCCCAGATGAGAAAGAGCCCCAATCTCCACTGGTAATGTACTCACTGAATTATTTCTATCATTTGAAATCACATTACCAAATCAAATTAAAAGGAAAAAGGTAAGAAGAAAAAAAAAATATCCTTTGAAAGCCCATGTCAATCTAAACCAATTGTGTGACAATGGATGGAACATTACCCCATATATAATTCTGCAAGAGAACAGCAATCCATTATTGAAGGAGGAATTGATGAAATTTCTGCACAGAGGATTTATTTTGGAAGCCTTGTTATAAGGTGAAAGATAAGGATTAAAAAGGAGCAGTAAAGAAGATTTAGTGGTCTAATCAGCCTAAATAACTCACTGTTCTGGTGAATATTTAAACGAATGAGACGTGATAGGCTGCCAATATTCTCAGGCAAACCATTTAGCAAATTCTTTGCTGCAAAGATTAAATTATAAAACGACATTGATCTGGATCTTGTAACACAACATATGAATGAAACAACTAATATCAGATCAAGACATCAAAAATTACATGCATTGAGTTCAGTGAGCATGGTCCATGACGCAATCAAATTTTTAGATATCATCGTTAGCTTGTTCCCCTGCCAAAAAAAAGGTTAAAAAAAAATTATCATTGCTTAACCAAACATACACGTTTTTAACAATCCATTAGTAAAATTACAATTATTTCTCATTACCTCCACATCAAGCTTTGTCAATTTTGAGCAGTTTGCTAGTTCATCAGGCAAGCTGGCAATAGAATTGTTTGAAGCCTGAGGAAGGGTATAATAAGAAACCTTGCTAGATACATTATGCTTAAAATAAATAAATAATAAGATTTTAGCATTAATTGTTAGTTGGTATGTCACAAACATGTCCCGTAATCCATCATGCTTATGGGAAGGTATTACAAGCTTGCCAGAGTTACTAATAAACGATGGAAAGAGCCCCACAAAGTCGGTCAAGGCAGCCAGATCAAGAACCAGACCATTTTTGCATGTGGAAGTGTAGTGCAGATCACAGCAGGAAATAATCACCTTCAGGTCTGATAGATCCAAACATCTTCCTAGTGCACTTGGTAGTTCCTTGAGACGATTGCTTGTACAGTCAAATCTAAAGGGAAACAACTGTCTCAATTGGAGACTCAATGATACAAATAAAAATAGACTTCAAAAAAAAAATTAAATGCAGGAAGAACAATTAGAAGCAAATAAATGAAGGAAATAGTAAATCTCACTAATATAAAAACAATAATAAAAAGGAAAAAAATAAAAGATGAGGTGAAAGGGAAGAAGTTTAATCATGTCTGTAGGTGTGTAGAAATATCTTAATCAATTTGCAAAGCTGATAAGTACTTAAATAAATAAAAAATAGTAATAAAAAGGAACACTGAAAATTGATTTTCAAATGACTTCAATCAATAACTTCCGTCCCTTATGCCAAAACGAGCATAGCTCGACGGTAATTGGCATATATATCCAACCAAGAGGTTGTAAGTTCGATCCCCTACCCCCACACGTTGTACTAAAAAAAATAACTTCTGCCCCTTATGTCTTTGTAATGTTGTTCCCGTAGATACTCAAAGAATTAAAACGGAACAACCTTTATCCAAATGAATCATCACTGCAGAAATATACTGCTTGTTCCTTTCATCATAAATTACGAAGAATAGATCTACTGGGGATATTTAGAAGAGAGAATGAATACTTGACAAGTGAAGTTGCGGATCCAATTTCCTCTGGTATTTTCACTATTGAATTGAAGGACACGTCTAAGAGTTTAAGTGCAGGAAGCCTGCAAGAGCATAATCAGCTTTACTTTCTTACAAAGAAAACGGTATTGGAGGAGAAAAAAGTACTCAATCAGAACTCACTCTCCAATGGCAGCTGGTAGTTCAGAAAGTTTATTGTGGCACACATTTAACACAGTAAGAGAAGATAAATTCCTAAGTTCTTCGTTCAATGATTCAATATTATTATGACCTAGAATCAACTTCTGTAGCTCCACAGCCTGCAAACAAACGCAATGAACGAAAAGATTTAGAATCAAATCTTCAAATTCACCAACTCGAAAGTGAAGAAAAAGTTTACCTCCCACCACTTCTCGTCCGCCTGAACTGCATCCAAGCTCCGATAAACCTCACTCGGCACATCACTAAAGATTAGAACCAAAATTCAGGTACATCCTCTTGAATCACGCAATACGATTAATGCGGCATCTTCTTAATTAATCTTAGCGTCCATATGGATTTTGAAGTCGTGATCAGGATGTGTAAATAAAGGAAGAAAGAACTTGCCTGAGGGAGCGATTCGATAGATTAAGAGAGCCGGATGCTCTTGCGGCCTTGAGCGCCCGATCCATTGCTGGAACGCTTCCAGTAGACTCAGTACAGAATGTAGAGCTTTGGACTGAGATCTATGGCCATCGTTAGGCGATTGAGAAACTCTAGCTTTCTTCTTGGTTCTTCAGTTCTACTTTGTTTACAGAGAGGGAGAAAACGAGAGCTCGATTTTTGGCGACCAGCTAACAACTACTTACGATTTCTCGGTTCGCACTTTCCTTCAATGATAGAAACATTTCAACAAACAAACGACAAAATACATGTGAATTTTTTTTTTTCTTTTGATGATTTAAATACTAGTACTGCTTGTTTCTATACCTTCGACTTTCGTTCAGTTTGGTTCCCCGTGTTTTTTTTCCTTCGTTTCATTTTTGTTATTGCGCTATATTTTTAGTCAAAAGTAACGATCATCTTAGTCGGTTGATTTTATTTTTATCTCATTTTTTAATATTATCATAACATTTCAATTAATAAAATATATCCATAAATTTAAATTAAATGATTAAATACACCAAATAAATCACTTTTTAAATGTACAAAGATAAAAGCAAACATTTTGAGAGATCATAGAAGCAATGCTGCAGAAAAAGAAGATTTGTTGCAATGTAGCTAACAAGAACGGAATCACGCTCTGTAGGATTTGGTACAATAACTAAAATGAAAAAAAAAAATTTTGAAAGTAGAGAATGCTCGCTTTAAAAAACAACTATTAGATATATGTTTTAGTCTTGATGTGTGGACGTTTTTTTATTTTAGTCTTTATTGTTGAGTAGCTACGTTTTGGTAGTTTTCGGTTATATCCTTACTCATATTAAATGTTGAAATTAGATAAAAATAACATAACATAATACTTACTAAATTAATAGAAATTTAGATAACAAATTACATTACCTAAAAAAGGTTCTAATTGTTGATCCAAATTTCGAGGAAGTTGGAAGATGTCAAGGACAAGAGTACTCTTGTATAGTATATTCACATTTTCCTATTTGATACTATATTCACATTATCCTATTTTGGCATAACTTTTACGGCATTGCTTTTTGTTTCACTCAAAAAGTTTCATAACAATGGAGATAATTATCTTCGTCTATATATCATAGATCACTTTATTCTCTAACCATTTAGACTTTGTTTGCACACCTTACAATCTCGATAGAACAAACTTTGACTTTGTAAGAGGTGGCTTAATTCCTTGTTTAATATTTGTTAGATCCTGGCTAGACATAATTCTCGTCAATTTTGATATTACCACATTTATTAAATTAAAACTTTTTAAACTAAATTTAAAAATGCACAAATATTAGGGATTAAATAAAACATATATTAGTCTTCTCTAAGAATAACATAAAATAATTTGTGCATTAACTCAATGACATTTTTTTAGTACAACCGATGTGAGAGTGAGATTTGAACTTCCAACTTCAATAACTTGTTTATGTATCGCAAGAATTTACTAATTATACATATCAAAATAATGTGTAAATTAATTATGCATGTATATATATATAACTATGTATATTATATTTTTGGTTAAATTACAAGTTTAATTTTAAATTTGTCTAATAAGTCATTGAACTTGTTAAATAAATTTATAAATTTTTAGTGTTATGTCTAATACATCATTGACCTATCAATTGAAAGTTCAATAACTTGTCATGACTTTTTAAAGTGAGACCTACTAAACATAATTCTTAAAGTAATTTGACATAATTCTTAAAGTAATTTAACATAGAGGTTAAATGAACATAATTCTTAAAGTAATTTGACATAATTCTTAAAGTAATTTAACATAGAGGTTAAATGAGGTGAGACAAATTTAAGTGAGTAAACATAACTTCCTTTCAAATATAATCATAAATTTGAATCTCCATTTTACATTGTAATATTTGAAAAATAACTTAAATTATTTAAAATTAATATAATTTCAAATTTAGTCTATAAATTTAGTGTCATGCAGTCCATGTCATTACATTAACATAATTAGCAAAGTAACGTGACATATTTATTAGATAAAATATAAACAACATAAAAACAGGTGGACGAGATAAATAATATTTTAGTAAATATTGCAGCTTTCTTTTTGAAGCTCTTTTTATTTAAGAAGTGAGATAAAATTATTTTAACGTTGAATGAAACATTTTATTAGACGCCGCTTGGGGTCTTAGTGTGCTGATCGTCGTCGACAGTAATAGGCGGTGTCTGATGGGGTCCGGGGTTGCCAAAATGGGCCTGATGAGGCCCAAAATTGCCATGTTGGGCCGATGACTGATGGGGTCCAGAATTGCCAAATTGGGCCGTTTCAACGGGCTTGGATGTGGCCCAATTGATTTCTACTTCGTGGTGGTCAATTGAAGTCAGTGGATAAAAGCCGTAAGATCGGCAACCTTCATAAGAAAAGCCATTGCATCCCCTACGATCACTGGATGGACAAACATAGCCCAACATGCACTCGCTGTTCGGCCCCTCAAATCCTGGGCCAGACCAGTACCCCCCCGGCCCACCGTATCCCGGCCTGTACCCGACCCCAACTCCGACTCCAACTCCAAATCCATTAATGATCGGATCAACACCTCTCCTGCCGCCGCTGAGTCCTCCTCCCATGGCTCCCTTGGGGTCCTCGGTGACTGGAAGCGGCTTGTCGAGGGGGAGATTCGGACCTCCGAGGTTGGAGTTGAGGACCCTGTTGGCGAATGTACAGCTTATGCAAAGGAAAACAAAGGGACACAGAAAGAAATACTTGAGGGAAGCCATCGTTTTTGGTGGAAGTTTGGTGATTTGGATGGGAAGATTAATAGGGCTTTATATATATATGTGGGAAGTTGGAGGTGTTTGGAGGGAAGGAAAATAAGCCCAGTGGGTGTTAGCTTTATTTTCCGGGAATCTGGGGACCATGGAATTCGTGTTGATGTGTAAACATTCCGTGTTCGTTCATGCTTTTATACTAGTTTAAATATACATTTTGGACAAACATATTTGTAATGTAACGATGTGTTTGATATTTCTTTTGAATATAAACCACATAGAGTTTAAGGGTGGTTTTGCTTATGATCAGATGAATCTTTTGCTTAATACAGAATGGAGGGATCCCTAGGTTTTGTGCAGAGGAGACGAGAGGTGGGCTGGTGGAAGGGATGAGTTTCGACAAAGAATAACGGATGCTATGTCCACGTAAGGCCATGTGGACACGATCAAGATGCAACCATTAAAGGTCGGGTCGAGTGACGATGGTCACATTTGACAATCCAGCCTTGCGTGCAGGTCAAATTTGGACATCGATTTGATGATTAACCCACTTCTGATGCAGCATGCTGCCCTGTGCACATCTTTTTAAACATGATTGTGGCACGTGCACGTCTCCTAAACGTGGTCATAGCCCTCTGTCTGTTATTAAGTTCATGGTAATTTATATATCTACTCGTGTGGACATACTTGCCACCAACCAAGTCCACATGTTGACTTGCACTAAAATTAGCGATGGGATACGAATAGTTTCTTAAGATAAATAATATCGAAGGACATTCAATTTGAGGTATACAATCAACCCGTCCAATTCTATCCGACCCAAACCAACTCTAACTTAAGCATCATAGAATCTTTGGCTGACACCACGTCGGTGTCTAGCTTCTTACTCACTATATTCAAATGGATAACCCTACTCCCTTTCATCACTCAGAAGAGCTGCGCTCACCTCACAAGAAGCAGCATCCGACCTCAGTTATTCATGTGGAGCACTACGTGATAAAACTTGTCTAGTGTCTTACTAAACCAACGGGCGACAGTCATAGGTTTTTCCTAGAGACAATGTTGTTTGAATTAGATTCCATTTTGGTACGACAGGAAGGAGTTTACACTATAGATTTGTGAAGATTCAACTTGTGACTTGAGAAAGAAAGAGCCTTAATTCAAAATATGGTACAGGGTGTCAGAGCTTCTATTTCTAAGTACAATTCTCTATATAGAGGCATCTCTCCTTCCTGTACTGCTCTTAAAACAAACAGAGATTCTTTTTTTTTTATTGCAAACACATCCAAGAGATTGGCTTTCAAAGAAAGTCGAGGTACTGAAAAAGCTGCAGCTTACCCTTATCCTAAAGAATATAAAAGGAGAAGGTGAATAGGCTTTTCGAAGTCCGGGGATAGAGAAAACAAATCCAACATTTCAATGTCAAAAGTTGGGACTCCGAGAAAATTCCATTTCTCAAAATGGCCTACTAAACACTGATTTAGTATGCTTATTGTATCTCATGAATTCATATGAAATCTACGTTCAATATCAAACATACTCTAATTATTTCACATTTTTGGAAACTCACAGTATTGATTTGAGCCAGCAGAAGGGTCATAACCAACTCGGACACGACGGAATCTCCATAGCTTTTAAGACTCACGTTTCATCAACATCCCAAAATGCCTAAACATTTTCACCAGTACCTCCTGATTCTACATCATTCAGACTCTCAGCCAACATTCTTTGCCTGTTCTGTAATTGTCTTTCTTGAGCAACCATATACAAACCTACACAAGCGACGTTGATTACAAAGTTGGGGAAATTGGACATAGCTTATAAGAAGATAAAAAATGTTACTTTACTCTCAACTAATTAGGTGACAACTTCGTACAAATGAGTTACTTATCAAGAATTCATGTGCGAAGAGGTTAAGAGAGAATACCAATTGCACTCCCTATGGCACAGACCCAGAGAACCCTCATGGACCATTTATCACCAATAACTCCTCTGCCTCCCATATCTAACTGCAAATGTAGAGCAAATAGCTTATTTTATAATTACAGTACTCGAGCCTCCATAAAAGTCAAAGAACATAGGAGACCGGTTCATTCTTTAAGCTTTTAGGAACAAGTGTTGAAGGCATGGAACTAATGAAACTAAGGAAACAGATTTGCATACTAGACATGGATTGGAGAGGCAGATACGCCATCAGTCGATCAAACCTAAACGAGAATGTCCTTTTCGGAGAAAGAACTTCCTATAAAAAATAAAACACCAGGAAAACAGGATACTTACTACCAAATGGGATCACTTCAAGTTGTCATGTTTGTTTCTTTTCACATATATTAAGGAAGGCGTTGTTTGTTTGTTTGTGTTTTTTATGGACAGTTTGTTTAAGGAATGTCCACACCCAGATGACAAGCAAAGGCTGAAACTTAGCCAAGAACTTGGCCTCAAACCTCGCCAAGTCAAAATTTTCCACTTCAAGTTGTCACGTTGGGAAAGAAAATAAACAATCGTTGAATAAAGCAACCATTCATTAGCTAATAGCGCAGAAAGTGAGAAACCTTACCTGGATACTCCAAATCTATGCTGGATATAGATATAAGCAAAGGCATTTTTGCATAAAGAAGCGGATAGAAACAGATTAAAACTAAGCAAAGGAAGATCCAATGTCAACAAGGCACCACACTCAAGAAACAATTCAGGTCTTGGTCTTGTAGCATAAAGAAATGGCAGTATATTGACTTCAAGTCAAAGAGTTAGGAGGTTCCGAACTCATTTCCCCGTCTCTTATTCTTAACTTTTGAATGAATCAACAGATAATTAAATCGGTCAAAATCCCAGAAATTATCCCAGTTTCCTTTAAAAAAAAAAAAGATGAGTATTGATGAACCCCTTTCTCAAAACGATTGAGATAACAATTAAGGGAAACATGTGATGGTAACCAATGAAGTCCAGGAAAAATCTGAGGCTTCCCACCAAAGTACAATTTCTGAAAATCGAATGAAAGAAACAAATCTAAGCGATACATTTGAACAAACCCACGATTAAAATTGCAATCAGACATCAAAGGAAATGAACCATACCCAGTTTCTAACTAATTCCTACGTAAATTACTGAGTACAGAGGGAGAGAGAGAGAGAGCAGGAGCTACCTTTAAGTGGCTGGTGCTATTCTTCGTGTAAGAAGCTTAATTTGATGCTCTGTGTCTTTTGGCGCTCGACTGATCTTCCCCGCTGACCCGTGGAGGGTTTTGGGATTTTGGCAATGGAAGGGAAGCAGTGTCGCGCCATCAGCGAGGAGAGGAGAGGACTAATCAGCGGTGAAGATGAGATCTTGACATCTTGTGCTGTTTCAGTCCGCACGATTCAACAATTTCACTCGCGCTTCCCCTGGTTCTATCGCGCTTGATTTCTTTGCCAAATTGGATCACCGGTTGACACCACGGCCCAATATTCACTGGGCTTCTGAACCTCATATTCGGCCCAAGCCCACTAATTTTGTGAACCTTTCGAGATTTGTGTAAATCTATCCTAATTTTAGAAACAACTCAAACTCAAACATGTCGTGAATCTCGATAGGGGAGAAATTTGCAAAATATAAGTGAGTACTCTGATGCTCAAGTCAGTCCAAGTTCGAATTGATTAAATTCAAAAACCGACGAAATTCACGCATACCTATAAAAACATTTTCATACCTTTTATAGACAGTCGTTTATGGTGAGGTATTAATTACCAACGATATCTTCTTCTTGTGGTGCATTCCAAAGATTAAGCGGATATTGATTGCTCCTTAATTCCTCCCCATATCCACATCATATCATGGATGTCACAAAGTGGAGAATTAGGTTGTCGTATATGGATACTTGATCCATCTCCAAGCTCCCTCTCCTAAGCTCCTTACTCCTTTCGAATGTCTACATCCTATTCCGACTTATCTGGAGATCTGGTCCGTTCCATGACATGTGGTGGTAGATTTCCAAGCTCCCAGCACAATCCATAAAGTTTAAGTAAAACTTTATTTGGTTTCAAGATCCAACACTTTTACATCTAAAGTTTCAAAAAGTGAATGTAGATTGCATAACTACTAATCATCTATTCAACGTCAAGCAAATAAGGATGTTTTGAATTTTTGATTTTGGTTTTTATTTTCAAAATTTATTTCAAGAATAATTTTCCGATTACTTGAAAAGTTGAAATCATTAGTCACTCTAAATTACCAATGGATATAAGCCTATAATTAAAAAACAAAACAACTTTTAACTAAAAGAGAAATTTTAGAAACAAGTTTTACCTATACATATCATCCATTTTCTGATCTAAATTGAATTATCTTTCATAAGAGTCTACATTTCCAAATAAACAATTCATCAATTTGGAAAAAATATTAAATATTGATTGGTCATTAGTTATCTTACTAAATGCTAAGGTATTTATCAAATACCGAACTTTATTTTTCTCATTTTTTTTCCGCATTTCTCTCCCCTACGCGTCAAATTTTAATGGTTTTCAACAAAAAAGCGATGCGGACCGACTAGCACCTTAAGTAGTGTTTCTCTGTTCAAACCTTCATGTGCTAAAAAAATGACTAGAAATGCCTTCTCTCTCTCTACAATTATGAAAGTACGTATGCTGAAATTTTTGATCCACAGCAGATGGGAATGCTAAATAAAACTACGATTAATTCAAGAAAGGAGACTGTTTTTTACACCATGGAAAACGAAATGACTTTATGCTATTCCAAAAGAAAAACAACTCAAAACCATTCATGTACTATCATGGGCTGCTACAAAATTACAATGGTTGCCAGAAATGATTGGATTGGAGAGTTTCCCTTAGTTCGTAACTTTGAAGTTCTTGTAGGGTTGAACCGTGTAAGTACCAAACACGAGATAATCGCGCAAAATACAGTCTCTTCTCTCACAGGGCAACATCTGGGTCCAATCTTCGCTGGATGGCAGCTGCAGCCTATAATAGAAGGTAGCGACAATTCAAAAAACTAGCCTGAGAATTCATCAAACTTAAACTGACTGAAGAAAAACTTTTTTGACATCTACACCTATGGCTACCTCAAAGTTACCAAGCTTATACTGATACGCCATCTCCTCTCGGAGGCGAGCTTGTTCTTTCATTGCTTGTGCCTGTGAAGCATCAAGTAAGAAACTTAGAAATAAAGTTAGATAATCCAAACTAGTTTCAGAGAGTAAAATCACTGACCATTCCAGTCTGCATAGAGCGCTTTAAGGCTTCCACTTGTTCTTCCTTGTGTTTTTCACGTTCTCGAAGTAGTTCTTGCCTGAACGAAAAAGGAGAGTGAAATTATAAACCCAACCAACAAAACAATGTTTGCATCAAATTGACCATCTCTGAATGATGTAGTGAGTTACAGAATTTGTTAATTACCTTTAGTAATACTTTGTTTGTTTATTGACCCAGCTTTTGGTGTAATTGTTTTCTTTTTTTTTAGTTAGTTCAAAATTTCTCAAGATCTTGTATGAATGATTTGATATACTTTTGAAGATTGAATAAAGAATTCTTTGTCAATTCTAAAAGAGTAGTTAGGCTCCATCATCAAACATGCATGTTCAATCATCAGATGAGCAAATTTCTTAATATGGGGTGCATTTAATCCTCAAAATGAACAGCAGGTAAATAAGAGGAAAAGTAGAAATACCTCCTCTGTTCTTCATCATCAAACACAGTGCGTTCCCCTGCCGAAAGCTTTTTGTGGCCCTTCTTCATATCTTTTAGCATTTTATGCTGGTAATAAGCATCAAGGTTGTAGTACCTGAAATCACAGGACAGGAAAAAAAAAAAAAGGCATGCGGATTAATGATGGATGGCTTAAATCGCACGAGCAACAACATGAGTAGATGAGCAGATCTTAAGAAAAACTTCAGTTTTTACTCGAGATAAAAATAAAGATTGGATTTAAGGTATTGTATAAAGTTTAATAATCTCCAAGAAATATTGGTCATATTAATGGTCCATCTAGCGTTCTTTGTTCATTTCTTTCTTACGACCTTCTCAAACAATACCATAGTAGCCTAGCTGCACAAACAAAAATCACAGAACCTTACTTTTTAGATGGAAAAGTGGCCGTATTATGGTCCTCCATGAATCTGTATAAACAATCATCACAAGATGAGTAAGATTGCAGCTCTTTACAATTCTTGTTGTTCTTTCAAAAATAGATTAAGTGGTCATTAGATAAATAAATATAACAGCTATCATCAAGGGTAATGACTGTGAGGAGTTAACTAAACATGACCAATTCATCTACTTACTCCTTAAACATTTGCTTCTCTTCCCAATTAGCTAGGCTTTCCAAGTTCACCTAAGCAATGTAATATTAAAAAGAATATAATTAGCAAAAATACAACGACTGCAAAAGCAATTAGATCGTAAATTCGTCTCAACTTGGTAGACTTTTATGTTCAATCAAAAGAATATGCACACTACTAAAGTAATTTTTTTAAATAACTGGGAGTCGACTTCCCTGAGGGGCACCAGCGCTAGCCCTAAGACCCGAACACGGGTGTACACTACTAAAGTACTTTGAATCCAAAAAACAGAAAAGGGGGCTATCTAGATTGAGTAACATGAAAAACTAATTTTGTTTTAGTCAATTCAACTCCATATATTGAAGAAATATTAAGTTGGGGCCACTGTATTGAAACTATTTAGCAGTCTCTTTAAAATGAAGGTAACTTAACAATAGCATATAGCTATTCCACACAGTTACAACTTAAAAATGTCATTAATTAGCCATAATGGAAGACTTTGCGCATAAATCAATTTACCTTTTTGATTTCAGCCAACCATGCAGTGAACTCTGGTCGCTTGTTCCTATAAAATATAGTCAATAAGAACAAATTGCAAGAGAGAGTGAATGGTTGTGCAGAAGAAAGCATGAACCAATATAGAAAATCTACAAAAGTATGGTTCAGTTGATTACATGCACAAGGAGGACTAAGCAGAGGACTTGAATTTCGAAAAATAAAGACAGTGCGAGCATATAATCTCCTCTCTCGCCACATTTTCCCAGTAAACAAACAGAAAATTTAATGGAATTGAATCTTCACGTACCACATATCAGTTTCTTTGATAATCCCATACTTTCCCCACGAATTCGTGACTGCCCCCTTCTTTCCCCGTTCCTTCTTCTCCTTTTTCTTCTCCTTCCTTCGTTTCTCTTCCTCCCTCTCCTTTTTCCTCTTCTTCTTCTCCTTCTCCTTTTTCCTCCTCTTCCGCTCTCTTTCCTCCTTTTCTCTTCTCCTCCTCCTCTCCCTCCTCTTCCTCCTCCTCCTCTCCTCCTCGCTCTCGCTATCGCCTTCCGAACCCGAACTACTCGACGCAGATTCCGCGTCGGAGTTCTCCGAATCCGAGTCATACTCCGAGCTTTCAAATTCAGCATCCTCGGAATCAGAATCCTCCTCACTACTGTATCGTCTACGGGATTTCCCCTTTCTTCTCGAGCTCCTCCCGCGTTTCTTGTCATCGGAATCCGAACTGTCTCGCGATTTTCTTCTTAATTTGTTGCGTTTTCGTCCCTCGTCCACTTCGGAGCCCGAAATTCCATGACCCTTTTCGGAAGTCCTACCAGAAGTTCTCTTCGACGGGGCTCCGTTCTCTTCTTCTCCTCCTCCTCCGCCGCTGTCACCGTCTCTATCGGAACTTCCTCTCTTATCAGGCAGCTCACCATTTCGATCTCCAGCCATTTTAGTTGAGATTCGGGTGCAGAGATTCCCACAGGCGTTCGAGCAAGAAAGATGAGTGGAAGGCCTCGTGTTGCAAGACTCTCCGTTACATCGCATATATTGTGACGGATCATTTGGCCCAATGGATCGTCTCTTCGATTCTAAAGTAAGCCCAATTCTTGTATCTAATACATCTTTGTTATTAAGTTTAATTAATTCCTTCGTGGCATGCACATGTTTAAGCCTTTATATGCGTAGTCGTTTGACTAATAGAGTTTTTTTTATTACAATTTGATTAATAGAATTAAAGACATGAAACTATTAGATACCGATTGAAATTCTGATGACCTGTTAGATTTTTATTTTTATTTTTATTTTTTTAAGTTAAGGGATTATATAGACACAATTCAAAGATATTTTATAACTTTTTAAGGTACGAAATAGACCCACATTTTAAAAGTTGAAAGTTAAAATTTGAAGGTAATGAGTTCAAATTGCCACCCCAAAACTTAAAAACTTAATTGGTAAGTATCTTACTCATCACGACGGAAATACAGATTTTTTAAGGGAACAAAATCACTGTAAACATTCTTGAATCTTGACTAAAAAAAATGACTGGAAATTTCAACCTCTACAGTTCCACTTTAATTTATGTACATGAAGTATCTAATACATTCCTAATTCCTACATTAGCATCAAGTTTCAAACTTGATTTTACAAGTTCTTAAACGATGCTGTGATTTCATAAGAGCATCTAATCACCTCACCTGTAATTCGCCCGTCATCGCTATTTCACCGTCGTTTTCTAAGGTTTCCACAAGCTCATCTAAGGCATTATGTAGTTTTCCATCCATGGAAGGTACAGTCTTCAATGAGCTCAGAAACTCTTTCAGTTCCCCATATCTTCCATTTTCAGATAGCCATCGCAGAATGCTTGATACAACGCTAGGTTTTGGCCTCCACCCGTTGTTTTGCTCTTTTACAGCAAGAGCTTCATTCATGCACTTAAAAGCCTTCTCCAGGTTCTGTTTTTCCAAGTACCCTGCTGCAATAATGGCCCAACTATTTGGTGGTGGGATTCTCCCTTCTCTGGCAATGCTCCTAAGCATCTTTTCAGCTCTTTCGATTAACCCCTTTTGCGAGTAACCGATAAGGAGAACGTTCGGGACTCGAAAATCGTAACACTGGCAAGATGACTCCCATTCCTTGAGCAGATTTTCAGCTTCCTCAAGCCGCTCGAGCTTTACCAAGGAACCCAACATGGTTATATAATCCCTATTGACTTGCTTCTTACACTTCTCCTTCTGGAGGGCCCACAGTCTCATTACTTCATCATTATGTCCCAGACTGGTGTAGAGGGAAATGAGATGATTGAATCCGAGCGCATCTCGGTCTACCTTGTCCTCACATTTTCGAAGGTAATTCAGTGCTTCTTCGTGCATACTGGCTTTTATGAAAAAATTGGCTACCATTGAGTATGTAGTCCAGTCCATGGATATGTGGGATTGGCTCTCCATTTCTTTCAAGACCTTCTCCATAGTGATCAGATCAGACCTAGCTCCATAAGAATTGATGCAAATTCTATAGCTAAAATTGTCAGGAAGAACACCATTCTCCTTCATTTCAGACAGCACGTTCGGAACTTTATCGACGTGGCCAGTGTTCAGATATAGACACATGATATCATTGTAGTTGAGGGGAGTGGAAGCAAAACCCATCTGTTTCATCTCCTGCATATGGGTAAGGGACTTATCTACAAGGCCTTCCCTGACATAACAATTTAGAAGAGCACCATAGAGTTTACCAATTTCCTCCTGGTTAGAAACACTGCTGAAGTACTTCTCTGCAGAATCCAGCCCCCGAACTCGGCCAATCAGATCAAGCTGTACAGCAAAGTCTCTTGTTGTAAGGGGGAAAAGTCCCTTGCTGCTCATCCATTCGGACACCTTCAATTAGAATAATCCAAGAGAAGAACAAACGATCAACTAAAAAAATCTAGGACTGATGAAATCAAATGGATTAAACACACTGTTTGATAACTATTTAGTTTTTAATTTTTGAAATTTTAGCTTATAAACACTATTTCCAACTTTGTTTCTTTTGTTTGTTATCTACTTTTTGATAACATTTTCAAAATTTAAAAACTAAAAATGGTGGTATTTAAAACTTGTTTTTGTTTCTGAAATTAAACATGTTTCTAGAATGATGAAAAGCATGCTAAGGATATTGAGAGAGGAAGTAGGCATAATCTTTAAAAACGAAATCGTCAGTAACCTTTAAGAATTAGGATATCAACCTAGTGTTCAGCTAACTACAAGAATTCAACAATTGTACATAACATTACATATGCCATCCTCTTGCCAAGCAGCAGTCCAGATTTACCTCTGTGGAAACTGGAAAGGATGATTATTTGGACCGGAACGAGAATTCAACTACATTACATTTCCAGAACCATGTTTTAATGAAGATGAAGGAATAAAATCACAGTTAGCTAAACTAAATTTGATTGCTTCAAATTCCAAAATGTATATTTCTAGGTTGTTGCCTCCACAGGATTTTCAGCAATTAATAAAAGGACTAGAGGAATAAACACAAGCAGGGATTTCGAAATCCTCTCCTGCGATTATTCAATAAACCACTAAAATCGATCCTCATCCAACTGACACCATATACAGTCTAATCTTCCTTTAATGGAAAATGGTAAAACCAGGGAGAAATTTGAATTGCGCTCACCTCGAGGGCTTGGCCATACCGCCGGCAAGAACGAAGGTCGCGAACGATTCTCCGGAGCTCAAAGTCCTTGATCTTCCTGCCTTCCTCAATCCACTGATCAAGAATCTGGACTACACTGAGCTCAGGGTCACCGAGAGGACTAATCCTCGCGAAGAGGTTCCTTCGGTTGCAGTTTCGTCTCGTGCTGTATAATCTCAACACCAGAGAACAGAATGAATCTGTCTCTGTTCTCACTGTTCTCTCGAAATTCGAAGACCTGCTTAAGATTTTGAACATTGCTAACGCCGCCGCCATGGCCGAAGCTTTAGAGAGCTGAAATCTCAGGAAAATTCTCGTTCGATTGTTTGATTTGTCTCTTTGCAACGAAATTAAAGTTCTGTTAGACCGCTTTCTTTGAGCGCTCGTTTTCGAATTTATTCACTCCACCATTCGAAATTGACAGTTAGGGTTCTACTAGTACACCATGACCTCCATGACCTCGCTTATTAATATTCATGAGTTACACCTCAAAATTAATTGGCAAGAGTAATTCATGCCTATTATAAATCTAATCCTTAACACGCGTTAGTTTAATTTACCCGATCTATGGCTCCCAATTTATAATGATTTCCACCTTCCCCAATTTATAATGATTTCTATTTGTCGGGTTTTTGTGCAATTATCCAAGTCCAGAGGGGAGTGTTAGATATTTAAATAAATAAATTAAATTTACTCAAATCCAACAACTTTTTTTCTTTTTCACCTAGAAAGAGTAGGAGTGGAGATTCAAAATCAACTCTTAATTAAAGACTGGTGTCAAATTACTACTCTAGGCTTACGTTGGTATATTGTGAGTTGACTTAGTATGGAGTGATTTTGGAGAGATATAATTGGAAGCTCTAAATAGAAAAATTTCTATGAAGTTTGAATTTAATATCTATTTCTCAAGGGGAAAAAATGTTCTATACGATCTTTAGAGTTATTTCTACGAAGGATTATATGATATAGTTGAGGTGGGAATTTTTAATTGATGCAGTAACTTTTATTAATTTTCATTAATGTGGCTTTTATTTTATTTTTCTCTTCCCTCTCTTCTTCTTCCTTCTTCCTTGTTCTCTTGAGAATAAGTGTGACCATCGGAATTTGATATGATGTGATAGTACAACATTTTATTAATCCTCGTGAAGTTTCATCTACCATAGTCTGGATTTTTATCTCTTCTCAAACTTTAACCACAAGATAGATTGGGATAATAATAAAAATTTTAAATAATCATAAGGACAAATTGGAGAAGATTATAATAGTATAGAATTAAAATGTGTACGTTAAATATTATTTTATTAGAGTGAACTAGGACTACAATTTCAACGGGGAAAAACTTGAATTCAATTTTCACAAACTTATCATAAAAGTAGCAACAAAACATAAAACAATATGTAAAAGATAACAAGTTATAAGAAAGAATGTTATCGTTAAAGATTTAAGGGAACTGAAACATGGAAGAAAATGTCTGCCCAAATCTCCAAGAGGAAGGAACCACATTGACAAACTCCATTGTTTTTCCATCAACCAGAGTGAGCTTAAACGACATTCTCTGGTTTCGAAGGTCGACGTTGGCTTGCCAGTTCGCTCCCCAGTTGCGGTGCATGGGCGTCCATGTCCTCCACCCCGACCCCTTTATCCATGCACTCTTTAGCTCCCCACTCCCACCAATATTCGATATCATCACCATGTTGAAGTTCGATTGCCCTCTCAATGTGAATCGAACCCCTCCCTTTCTCCTGCAACTCACCCTTCAAAATAGATGACAATTTTAAACATGTTAAATCACCAATAAACTCACAACGTTTAAGTCATCCGGGTGAAACGGGAAAGAAATGACCAAAATACAAAATCTCATGCTCTTATACCATATTAAACTTGATTAGATCATTAATGAACCCAAAAACTTGATTATCAATATTCATGACGTTTCATCTCAAAATCAATGGACAATAAAGGACTTTTGTTAGGTCCTTTAGAATTGATCCTTAACATGGCTACACTCAAGATGGTAGTTCATTTGGGCTCACCCAAAATCTTGGCTCGAATTCTATTTTTAGATTGGATGTTCATTTGAGTTTGTCAGACTCTGATAACATATCAATATCCATAGAGTTTCATCTCAAAATAAATTAACTATGACATGAGTAGATGGTCCTTATTTAACCCGTCGCCTCAAGATAGTAGCTTTTTTTTTTTTCTGGACCAGATGCTCGTTTGAATTGGTTGAGCTTTAATACCATATCAATATTTATAAGACATTTCGAAATCAATTGACCAATAAAAGAAGTAATTCATGTATATTATAAACTTTCGTTAGATATTATCTTTTCAACCCGGAATCTTTAACCAACAACATTTGAAACTATAAACCCATCCAAATAAAATAAGTGGTGAGTTTTGATTGCTATATACAATATTTGAATATTTGACTTTGCATAATATATATGAGAATATTGTATTATTTGTAATTTGTGTACCTCTTGTAAAGGACGGGTACGATGCCTTCGTTGCCTTGACGAGCAATGTTAAGGAAGGCCGGGGACGACATATCGAAATGGGAGCGAGGGGGGTCGCACGCGCCGCCGTTGTTATTGGAGGGGCAGAAGTTAGTGGCGGTGACGGCGACGGCGCGGCGGCGGAGGCACCACTTGGGGTCGAGCTTATAGTTGCAGATTACTAGGAAGCAAGCGCCGCACGCCTCTCCTGCTCTGAAAAGTGCGCCGCTCAGCGCCGCCGTGTTTACTCCGAATCCGGCGTGGAATGTGTTGTCGTAACCACACGCTCCTCCTGATAAATATTAAATAATACATTGCTTTAATGCAATTACAAAAAATATAAAAAATATATATATAGTTCTGTTTTTTTTTTTTGGCCAAATATATATTTTAATTTAGTCAATGATATTTGAGTTCTTTCTTGTTCTCTTAAAAGTTGTAATTTAGTTGATTATCTTTTCATTTTTTTTCAACTTAGTTCTTCATTATGATTGAATGAATAGATTTATATGATGCAATACGATGAATTGGCAAAAATTTAGATGAAAATTAAAAGGTTGTCAAGGAAAAGAAAATTTAAAATTTATATCCACTTCTTAATTTGGTATTTATTATGAATCCTAATCAACAAATTATGACATTTGAATATTTTATTTTGTTAAATGAACATTTACTTAACAAATCAAAACGTATATAAATCATGATAAATTGTTATGATGAGTTGGAATCTCACCCGCACATGTTATATTAAAAAGAAGGAAAAAAACTTATATTTCAAAATAAAAACAGTTTTCAATTTTTAAAATTTAACAAGATAAATCCATTATTTAAAGAGAAGTTGTTCATCACTGGACCAATGAGCCTGGTGGGTATAGTAGTGGCAATGGACATCAAAAGGCTCAAAAGATCTGAAAATCCTTGTACGCTCTTGGGAGTCATTAGCCTGTTATCTCCGGCGTGCCAACTATGAGAGATCACTAGCAACGCAATGCTTTACCTTTATATACAAAGGGCGCGGGAGCGCTACAACTAGCACTTTGAAGCCAACTGAAAAATGGCCAAACCAGTCAAGTTGAAACTTTGAAGGCTCGAGCGAGGAAAATTTCAAAAGATTTCATTTTCTGATAAGTAAAAAGTGTCGAGATTTTCAAAATGCCATAAAAATATTGATTAAATGTCGATGTCAATAAATATTTCTGAAAAAATCTTAAAAAAATATTTAAATTAATAAATAAACACTTCACCATTTTTAAATAATTTAAAATTTTTTATTATTTATTGTCCACGTCATAGATATTTTGTTAATATAATATATAGTTTTTGATATTTTTCAATTTTTTTTAGAAAATTATGAAAATGTTGATTCACCATGTATCATTGTTCATATGAAAATGTCTACATAATAAATACCTAAGTAATAATTCATATCCCTACCCCATGAAATGACCTAAAAAGGTTCTTTTTCAGGTGAAGAATGACTTCACCCCTTGTGAAACTCCTCCTAAAAGGAAAAGGTCGAATAAGACTACCATAATATTTATATCCGTTACACAAACGTAAATCCAAAGAGGAAACTGTACACCAAGCCTGTATGGCGAGACAGAGAAAAGAAATGGTACCCCAGACCAATATATGAGGTCCACCCTTTACTATTAAAAAAATGACCAGACGTATCTGGTTGCGATCAGATGTAGAAGTAAATCCAAAAATTTATTTGTTCCTAATAACTATGGAATATAGATTTAAAAATGTTTATACGTAGATTTTTCGTCGTACCTCCAACCATATATAAAACTTGAAGCTAAAACGTAGTGGAGGTGCAAGTTTTTAAAGATTCTCACAATCAGAAAATCATCCACACAATTAAAAAGCAAAGATTTTTCTGAAAAACAAGAGAAATTGAAGAACTCACCAAGAGTATTAGGGTTTTGATCAGCTCCATAGAAAGTTGCATGAGCATCAAACCAGCCACCACCACCAATATCCCCATGAACGAAACTAAGAAGCACCAACAAGAAGAAATAAAACAAACAAACCCAACTGGCCATGCCCACCATCATTTTCCCGAGAAACAAACAGAAAATAAGATGAAACAATTGAAAAGATAATGTCTGTAACGTACGTAGAGTAGTATGTTCATTTATAGAGTGTTGTGATATGTCGGTGATTATTTAGAAATATAGAGATGAGAAAGAAGAACGCGGTTTTGGAAGGAAAACTTGGATCACAAGTACAGAGAGATGTGTACTTTCATGATTCCATCAATATCATCAGACAGTGGAAGAACAGTCCCATGTGAGCTTTTGATCTTCTTGTTTTCTAAAATTCCTTTTCATTTGTCGGTGCTAATTTGTATCTTAATCCATGCACGTTCCTTCACACCCACCTTAATTAATCTCATTCTGTTTTTTTTAATGTTTATTGAAGTGATTATAATGCTTTTAAGTGTTGATGAACATGGAGAAAAAAATTGTAGTAGTTAACAACAAATTCTGATTCATCTATTATGTTTTATAAGGTAACAAACATTCCGGTACTCAAGTAATTAGTAGTTAAAAAGTAGAGTGGCGGAGTATCTCATTTATAGACAGTGGAGGGACAAAGCCATTGGAACGGCAATTATGGGCTGTTGAGCCCTAGGTCGAAGTCCTCCAGTCGGTTGAAGAGAACTTGTTGATTCTCCGATGGCCCCAAGAGTGGGTCAGTCTTCTTCGTTGGATTAGTTGGACGGTTGTGACAATTCCAAACTTACTTAATTGGTCCACATGTGTCATATTGTATTTTTTTCCTCCAACACTATCGCAAGGAGCGCTCACATTTTGTTTTACGTCTTTGCCTTGTATCTTCCTTATGTCGTTGTCGATTGATTGATTTTTTTTAGAATAGATACTTAGGGAGTCACCACATATGTTAGGACGAATAAACCACCATTCAACCTAAAAGTTTAACGTAATAAATTGGATAAATTTAATTCATTTATGGATATCTAATAACTTTCTATTCCAGATTAGTTGAATCTTGTCAGAATCACGCGTAAACACCATCCATTTTTGTTAATTTGCTGGGTTTTACTTTTTCAAAAGGTTAGTTTCAACGTGTCTTTTTTTTTCTCTCTCTTTCATTCATAAGTCGGTTTGGCAAGTCTAAGAAAGAAAAGGGAAAAAAATGAGTTCAGAAAATAAGATGAGTTATTTGAGTATGGTTTATTTTCAATTTTTCAGAATAAATTTTACGTGAAAATATATGTTGATAACTATTTTCCGCAAAGTTTTTTTCAGGGGTCAAATTAATTTAAATACAGTTCTTGAACAACAAAGTTTAAAACAAATATAAAATCTGTTTTGGAAACGATCTTCGAGTTAACTTATTTTTTTTAGAAAAATTCATTAAATATACTTTTAAAAAGTAAAATAGAGCAGGATAAATAAGTCTCGTTTGTTAAGGATCCCAAGTTGAAAAGAAAAGGCACCTAATAAGGGTTGCTACTTCTCTCATAGCCAATTGATTTTGGGATGGAATCTGATGAATATTAATATGGTATCAGAGCCTAAAACGCTCAAACGAGCAACCAGTCCAAAAATGGGATCTGGCCAAGATCGTGGCGCCACGATCTTGAGGGGGTAGGCTACTCCTCTCATAGCCGATTGGTTTTGAGATAGAACCCCGAAACCCCATGGATATTAATATCGTTCCATAACAATTTCTATACTTTGTTTTTAGTTTTCGGAAACAAATACGATAGGCATTTTTTATTTTATGTTTTTAAAAAGTTAGAAAGTTGAAAATATATGTTATAGAAATCTATGTAAAGTATATATGCCAATGATGTGGGGCGGTAGTCGGGATGCCCTCTTCCATCCTCGTTATCGCAAAAATTTTAAATTTTCATCTTCACCTTACACTACAACAAAAAAGGTCTTCAGCGACATTAATTAGCGACAAAAAGTATTTATCGTCGCAAAACAACGATGAAAATTATTTTCGTCGCTGGAAACGCAACGAAAACAACATTTCGTCGCTGGAAAAGCGACGAAAAAGACCTCCAGCGACGAAAACCATTTTCGTCGCAAAATTGAAGTGGGCGCCAAAACGCGTTTTGGCACCCGCTTTGCCCCGTGTTGACATATGCGACGAAAAATATTTTCGTCGCATATGTCAAACGACATCGTTTTGATGGAAAAATTAAAATTTTCCCATCAAAACGATGCCGTTTTGGGTGGGCGACGAAACCAGCCCCTCATTTTCGCAACCCCTCTTTCTCTTCCTCCTCATTCAACGTTTCTTCCTCTTCCATTTCTCTCCCCCATTTTCGTGTTCCGCCGCCGCCGCCCGCCTCAATGGTCATCCTTGTCGTCGGTTTCTTCAACTAAATCGTGTATATTTGGTTTTTGAGTTTTATTTTTATTGATTTATACCTCATATGCCCTATTTTGTGTGTAGAATCGGCCCTCACGGTTTGTGGCTTGTTTTCGTCGGAGTTCTTTCATCGATCCTTGTTTTGCATTGAAGGATTTAGCATATTGGTACAAACTTTTCTCTTTTCATTTTATTTAAAGTTGGTTTATTGTTT